AGTCTGGGTCCTCATTTCACCCACCTCGGAAGGATGGAAGGCTGAGTCAACCTTGAGCCGGTGAGATTTGAACCGCCAAACTGCAGATAGCAGTCAGCTGAAATGGCCTGCAGCACTGCACCCTAACCACTTCGCCACCTCGGCTCTCAGATGCCTTCCTTACCCCCACCCCACCCCACCCCTTGCCTGTGCAGGAGCCCCTGCCTGGTTCCCCACAGCTCCTGCCTCAGGCTGGAAGAATTTGAGCAAAGCTCCTGAGGTCCGTGGCCCCATCATCCCCAGCCCATAGAGCGGAGCCTTGGAACGGCGGAGGTGCCTTCCGCGTGCTGCTCCTAGGAGGGCCTCCTCCCTTTTTCCATGGCAGAAAAAGGCTGAGCCAGCCTGCCCACTGTCATCGTCCCCCCTCCTCCCCCCCGTCCCCAGTTTATTTGCTCACTCTGGGCTCAAGGTCCTTCCTCTGCCGACACTCGGGAGGCTGTTGAGAGGAACCTGGGCGCAGCACGAGACACAATGCTCTCTTGGGTGCAGGGCTTCCTCCCGCTGGCCTGGACCTACAGCCTTGTGGACTCCCTCCTGCAGGGTGAGCTCTCCCCCCCCCATGCCTTCCCTCCCTCTCCCCACAGTCCCTCCCTCCTGGCTGACTTCTGCTTCCCTGCAGGGCTGGTGGGGGCCTGTGCCGTCTGCATCCTGGGCAGCCTGATGAGGATTTACCTCTACATCCAGTGCTTGAAGTGAGTGCCTACTGAGGGGGTCCCTGGGGTGGGGAAAAGGAAGGAAGCCCACCTTCTCCAACTTGGTGCAGCCCACCACCACCCTGGGTGGGCACCTCCCATGGCTGACCCTTGCCTGGGTCAACCAGGAGGCCGTGCAGGGGTAGGGCACTGGTCTGGTTGCCCTGTAGACCAGCGGTCACCAACTTGTGGTCCATGGACCACTGGTGGTCCGTGAGAAAATGTTGGTGGTCTGCAGAAAAATTATTTGCATTTTTTATATTGCACTAAATTGGGTCCTCAAACTACGGCCCCTGGGATGGATACGTGCAATGAAGGCTTGTGTTGCTGCAGAGAGTCTCCCCCTTCAGGGTCTTTTTGTGGGGGTCAGAGGGGGGCAGAAATTCCAACTTGGGGTCTCCTTCAGCCTCCTGGTGGGGGGCTTTGNGGGAAGGAGGGTGAGAAGGAAGGAGGGCGTGGCCAGTTCCAGTGATGGGCGGGGCGCGGAGCAGGTAGAGGATCCCCCCTCCCATCCGCCGCTTTGCCTGGACCTCTGGGACGGCAGGGGG